TACACCATGTATGGGTAGTAAAATGTTAGTTACGTACACCATGTATGGGTAGTAAAATGTTAGTTACTGTACACCATGTATGGGTAGTAAAATGTTAGTTACACATTACACCATGTATGGGTAGTAAAAAATGTTAGTTACGTACACCATGTATGTGAAGTAAAATGTTAGTTAAGTACACACCATGTATGGGTAGTAAAATGTTAGTTACGTACACCATGTATGGGTAAAATGTGTTAGTTACGTACACCATGTATGTGTAGTAAAATGTTAGTTACGTACACCATGTATGTGTAGTAAAATGTTAGTTACGTACACCACGTATGTGTAGTAAAATGTTAGTTGCATATACCACGTATGTGTAGTAAAGTGTTATTGTACACCACGTATGTGTAGTAAAATGTTAGCTACGTACACCATGTATGGGTAGTAAAATGTTAATTACGTACACCATGTATGGGTAGTAAAATGTTAGTTACGTATACCACGTATGTGTAGTAAAATGTTAGCTACGTACACCATGTATGGGTAGTAAAATGTTAGTTACGTACACCACGTATGTGTAGTAAAATGTTAGTTACGTACACCACGTATGTGTAGTAAAATGTTAGTTACGTACACCATGTATGTGTAGTAAAATGTTAGTTACGTACACCATGTATGGGTAGTAAAATGTTAGTTACGTACACTACGTATATGTAGTAAAATGTTAGTTACGTACACCACGTATGTGTAGTAAAATGTTAGTTACGTACACCATGTATGGGTAGTAAAATGTTAGTTTACCATGTATGGGTAGTAAAATGTTAGTTACGTACACCACGTATGGGTAGTAAAATGTTAGTTACGTACACCACGTATGGGTAGTAAAATGTTAGTTACGTACACCATGTATGGGTAGTAAAATGTTAGTTACGTAAACCACGTATGGGTAGTAAAATGTTAGTTACGTACACCACGTATGGGTAGTAAAATGTTAGTTACGTACACCACGTATGGGTAGTAAAATGTTAGTTACGTAAACCACGTATGGGTAGTAAAATGTTAGTTACGTAAACCACGTATGTAGTAAAATGTTAGTTACGTACACCACGTATGTGTAGTAAAATGTTAGTTACGTACACCATGTATGGGTAGTAAAACGTTAGTTACGTACACCACGTATGGGTAGTAAAGTGTTAGTTACGTAAACCACGTATGGGTAGTAAAGTGTTAGTTACGTAAACCACGTATGGGTAGTAAAGTGTTAGTTACGTACACCACGTATGGGTAGTAAAATGTTAGTTACGTACACCACTTATGGGTAGTAAAATGTTCTTGTTTTTCAAATTCACCATTCTTCTGATATTATCCTGTAGACCAATAGTTTCAAAGGTTTCCAAGGATTTGGCACCACGGAGAAAATAGGACAAAAAACTACTTCAACATTTGCCGGCTTTCAAGGCTTTTCAAAACAGGCTAAAAAAACAGGTACAAAATATAACTGTTTACAAAGACCATTCAAGGACTTTGAATGATTCATTGTTATTTTACTTATAAAAACAACGTGAACATTATTCTTACAGAAGATGTTTCCATGAACGTAAACGATTCAAAATCTGATGGAAAAAACGTCGATGTAAACGATGTTTACATGACTAATGTGAAACGTCTTAATGAGGATGTTTGCGAATGGATAAAAAAGCACATCTCTCAAAATCCATATGTTGATCTATCGCCAGTTTTTAAAGACTATGAGAAACATTTATCAACTCTTGAGAAGAAATATCGTTCATATTCTGTGGATGACTGCGATAATAAAACTATGGCTACTGCTGTTACATTTCCAACGTCAATTTCTACTGCAGCGTCTGTAAATTCTTCTGCCTTCACTCCAACATATGGATGTAAGTTATTCTCCATATCTGTCTGTGGAGCACTGGTATATTTATTTGACTTAGCTAAGACTATTGATATGTACGTTGTACATGGTTGTACATGGATTACATGGGAAATACTAAATTGTGAAGCCCACTGATATGATACAGCGCCATATTAAAATCCCACTCAAATGAGTATTTTTAAGGAAGTGATTTTGACATCGATAGCCTTAGATTTTGAAGTGTTATTACAGCGGAAAGCTTGGTCCTTAACTTGAACAGTTGATCTCAATTTACAAAATTAAAATCAATGCAGCAAGTGTAGAAAACATTTCCTTAGTTGCTTTCCATCAGCGTTTGTTGTTTTCAATCTGCGCACAGCATCATAACACGAATCAAATCAATTAAAATACATTTTCTCAACTTCGTGACTATTCAAAATGGCGACCTTTTTTCGTTTCCGGCTTCAAATTTAATTTGAGATGTGCGATCCATCTACGTAATATAGCTACGTACCTGTAACAAGACAGGTTGTTAGATACATCTCGTGAGCTTTTTGTCATTATTGACTCGCAAATGCGCTAAACAAAAGAGATGTATAACATTACTCCTGATTTTATTCTCTACTTGCTTCTTCTCTGCTTTCATAAGAATTATTAAATATACTGGATATTTATTAATGTCGTTTCAGCGAGCAATCTAAGTCCGGCAACATCAATACCATCAACCAATAATACGACAGAACCTGAGGACGAACCGAAAACACAAAGTCAAATCAAGAGGTACGTATTGAACGATGTTTTTGTGTGGGTTATGTGGCAAATTGCGTGTGAGAAATGTTATATACCGCTAGGTCCACCAGGAAAATAACACGTAATTATATGTTCTTTTCATTTTGAGATTCATATTCATGTCTCTTGTTGCCATTGTAACAGAGTTGCCAAACAATTGAAATAAAATACATAGAACGCTACCTGAAGCAAATAATTGAAGCCAAATCTTACACCAGACACGCGATTTTACCCCAGACTCGCGTGTCTGGAGTAAAGTCACGGCTTCAAAAAATTATTAAGCTTTCGTTTTACAAGTAGCGTTCCGTGTATTTTCTTGCAATATGCAAAACTGTGTCTTCACAAACACGCGTTGATTTTAAAATATAAGAAAAGAACTTATTATACGACGTATTTGCAAGTTCTCTATTTCATTAGGTTTATATTGAACTTGTTTTTTGTGCGATGCGATCTTACTCAGATCAACAAAGCGTAATGGAACTAAATATTTTCTGTGTCATTCTAAATTGACATGATACTTTTTCACCATTTCAGTTCGCCAGAAGAAGATGCTTTTTTCTCACTTCGTTGCAAACTCTTCTTTAAAAAGACAGATGATTGGTCTGAACTTGGTGTAGGAATGTTAAGCTTAAAGAAAATCTCCGATGAAAAGATTCAGGTGATAATACGTAATGATACTGCCTTGGGTAAGATTATTCTTAACGTCATCATTAATGAATCTACACCCATGTCAAGATCGGGGAAAAATAATGTGTTGCTTCTAAGCGTGCCAAACCCGCCCGTATTTGGTAAAGAAGGCGATAATTCCAAGCCTGTCAGTTATTTAATCAGGGTAAAAAGTGCAGAAAATGCCGAAGAACTTCTCACGAAAATGAAGCCATTGTAAACGTGTGCTGATTACGGGAATATGTGGTTAATCATGTCATCAAGTTCAGTAGAGAAGTACTTGACAGAGTCGTGGTGATGATTTTATCGATTCTTAATGGAGGGATGATTAGTAAAGAAAGATTTGTAGCTACCTGGTAGCTGCTTGGTGAAGTTTAGTAGAATACTAAGGGTTTTTAAAAGAGTGATAATATTTTATTGTAAGACTAAATGGCAACATCTCAAAAATGGCACCCAGAGCTTACAAAATCTGAACAATCAAGAATATGGAACTTTTGCTCACTTATAAACTGCATATATAAATTGCTGAACTCATGCAAACCTTTTGTAGCTCTGTTTTACATACCTTTATTAAAACCTATGGTTAATATCTATGCTTTCACACTTTGCTAGTGGATTTATTTTGTGGCAGTTGTTGTTTGAGGCTGAACTCGCGTTGCTTCCGATAAGTTTATTTATAACATTCAATGAAAACTTCTACATTGCAAGAAACTACAAAACTACAAGTAAGCACATGCTGATACAGGTATTTTACGTAAAGACGCTACATGGTTGGTTGATAATAATCTATCATGAGATTATGTTCACAATGTAAGGGTGACATTACCAATTTACTACTCTTTCCTTATTTCATTGTAAGGACGTGGCTTGGCAAACACTTTACATTACACTTATACATATGGCAGTGTCATTTTGGCTACATAGAAAATGTTGAAAATGATCAATTTAACTTTACTTGTTGTCTTTGTAAATATATTTACTAAGTTCTCTTTGTTGGCAATTAATTAAGTTCATTGTTACGCGCTACCTGCACTTTGCTTCTAATGAAATGGTTTTAATTTCTATGTGTTTAGACGTTGTTTTTTTTGAAAAGCGGGTTCTTTGCTTATATTATTTCTCCTTAGTTGTGTGTTTGATTTTCGCGCCACTGTTCTCTTCCACTATGCTTAAATCACTGCACCCAAGCTAAAGCTGTACACTCTGTTTTACATGCAGAAAGTAAAACCATTTGCTTTTCTATTCTTTGAGGATATCAGAGATCCTTCTTCTGATATTGAAAACCATTTCTTTCACTACCCAATCTAAATGTTTACTCGTTATCTTGTTGTGAAATATTTGGTGTTGTCTTTGCTTGCAGAAAACTTAAGCTCAGTAAGTCGCGCTGTATTTCGCTTCTATTAGTGGTATTTGATCTCCATGTGTGTTTAGACCTTTTGTAAAAGTGGCGTCCTTTAAATTGCTAATTTTAGTTCCATTGATTTTTGCGCTTCTGTTTTCTTCCACTATGCCTAATTTGCAACATAATTGTTATAAAAATTTACACTCCGTTTCACAAATAGAAAGTAAAACCATTTAAATCTTTCAACAAGGCTCCATCTACAAACATAAAGTTTACGTGACGGTCTGCGAGTGATTGCCTAAACCTTTCCCCGGTCAAGTAATTATTTAATGTTTCATTCCAGTTTCTGCCGCTTTGTTTGAGACCATACAGGGCCTTACTCTGTATTTAATTTGTCAACGAACTTTTCTCCTATCTAGTCCTATAATTTAAATAACCCTTAATTTACTCAAAATAAACATCACTGTCAACTGAATATGCCCACCACAATATAGATATCTTGACAGAATGTCCACTAGTGTCGGAATCTTTAATGTTCGTGTCCCTCACTTTTATGAAGCATTTTCTAAGAAGACACGCCTTCCAGAAAGATACTTCCGCTAGATCGCAATAGAAAATATAGATGTTTTTACAAATATATTGATTTGCACTAAAAAAGCTTGGAACCTTATTTTATTCAAAGATGAGAACTCTTTGTAAAATTGATAACTCATGGTAATCACCAAGACTGACTCGGTGATCCGCCTCTAAATAAGAATTTGCTACGTTATTTAATCTATAACGTTAATCAACTGCACGCTCACTCGTATTAGCAGTTATGCTATGCTGGCTGGCTTATTTTTGACTTAAGATGTACCTTCCTGTCTTCTCAACTTGATCGTAAAGTTTTCTGTCCAATTTTTTTAGTTGCTCTCAATTGCAGCAGGTACATAGTACAAAGTGATGGGCATATTTCATTATCCGTTTTACTTTTGTCAATCATAAATTTATCGACTCCATCAAAAATTTTAACTTGCTCTATTTTCATGATTTCTGAGTGATATACTAGGTAAGCTGGACTCTTCTTATCACATCCCACAAAAATGCCTCTTTTACCTCTGGGCTCGAGCTTTCTGGGATTCACTACGTAGAAGCAAAAACACACTGAACTGAACCCATGCCTTTTACTAAAATTAGACTTGAATCTCGTTAGATCCACACCTGCAGTTATTTCAAAACTATTATTGCTACACCTGTTTGCAATATAGGCAGATGCCATTACTGCATAAGTTTACAAAACTGTGGTAATTTTGATTCTACTGGTAACCATCTGGCCATATTGAATAAATTTAACCAGTCTATCTTATCCGTCCCATTTTGGTAAGGCAAATAAGTATCAATGAACAATGTCTCCTGCTTGATTAACTGTTACTTAAAAGAAATTTGAACTCATATCCTACAAAATCTCCTCAATTATCACTTTTGATAAATTTTAGTTTTCCTTTGGTTGCAATTTCAGCAAGAAATTCAATAAACATCTCTTGACATTATATATTCGAACAAAAGAATATTTAGCTACATAAAACCACGGTTGTTAATTATCTCATTTCACAACTAAATCTGGGCTAGAACTCGAAATGTCAAAACAAAACCGCAATGAAATGAAAACATTGACACAATACAAAAATTACGAAATAATCCAATAGGACCTTCACAAATCAGCTCAAAAATTAAACGAATCTCATTTTAATACATTACAATTCACTTGATACTTTTCCTATTTAATCTTTACGATCAGTAATCAATAGAGGTTTAGAAAGGCATTAATTTTGAAGAAATCTTTTCTTAATGTTAAGACATATAGAAATGTAGATCCAGGTGCCAAATGATGCGTAAATATTTTCAAATAATACCTGTCTCAGTAACTTGTTGCAAAAAAGATCAAAGTGATTTGATTTCATAGAACATTCCACAAAAACAAAAAAAAATTTTTTGTGATGTTTTTCAGGGTAAATTACACACAATAAAAGTTCTCTTTATTGCATATCCTTTCCCCCGTTCGTGTTACGTTGAAACAGGGTTGAAAAATTTGACATTTTAGTGCTTTTATCTCAGGTAACTTAAATATTAAGGTATGGTATTTTGAAAAATGAAGTAGAGAATACTTGATTACAAAACGTTTATTTATTGTTTTTCTCGAAAATTTTAAGATCTCATTTTGAACTTCTACGATTTTTCATCATCAACAAAACTTGAAAAAGAGGCAAACATAATTTTAAGTACTCTTCCTCGATGTAAGAGAATGAAAAAGATAGACAAAGAGTTATCATAAATCGACGCAACTTACCTTGAAACTAAATGTAGTTTTAGTACGTTCATCAAAACATTATGGCGAAACAAACTTTGCACTTCGTTTTATTTGACTATTTTTTAGTCTGTGTTCGGGCATATACCATCTAATTTAGTATGGGCAAGATAACACTTCCAGGAAGCTATGTAGCTATGTGTAACACATCGTCGTTGACGCTAGGTTGTTACTACTAAGCTATATGTTTGCCAGGTTGCCAAGCGTAGTCGTAATAACACATTGAACTAAAACACATGGAACTCTACTTAAAGCTAATAATTGAAGCCAAAGACCAAATCCTAAACCTGCCACGCGAGATTTTACCCCAGGCACGCGTGATTAGTGTTTCGAGATTCTCGCGCGGGTAATAATTGATTGACTTCACAAGCGTGTCTGGGGTAAAATCTCGCGTTTCTGTGGTAACATCACGGCTTAAAAAAATTATTAGGGTTCTGTATTACAAGTAGCACTCCATGTATTTTAATTAAATGTTATAACACCATCTGCAATCATGTCGCTATGTCGTTATGTTTTTGAGGTGTAAGGACCTAACGACGAAGATTACAAAGGTTTGATCAAATTGTAAGTGTTCTTTTACAAAAAAAAAAGGGTAAAAAAAGTCGTTAAACTCTTTACTTAGGCATGATGCAATGAAAATGTCTCATGTTTTGATCTAGGATAGTAAATGTAGTCTATTGTAAACAGAAATAAAACTTAATCATTTTACTTTTTTTTATAGATTAAGATAATATGTTTATTTACTTTATATGATAATATGGTTGATTATAGCTTGTTTACACGTAGTTTTGTACTACAGATACATTTCAACAATGGATAAAAATGTCAAAAACACAGCATTTCTACATAAACTTTCAAATTCTCCACGACACATTTCACGAAAAGCATCTTCGATTAAAATTAGGGTTTTAATGTATTTCTTTGACATGATTCCCCATCACTAGGATCTCTCGTCATTATCTATAAAATTTTATAAAATTTAACTCTCAGAAAAGTGATTTCCTGCTTTTAGTATATATGAAAGAATATAGGAAACCCTATTCATGATCTGAACGAGAAAAATTCGGAAATTTTGGCCAATTTTAAGTTTTTCCGTAAATACTACTTGTGTTTGCCAAGTCTCACCAAAATCAAATCAAAACAGTTTCATTCATTGTCATTATCATAGTATTGTTCCTTGGTAGCAAAAGAAATATGAAGCACGCCATTTTTTGCAATGAAAATTAAAAGAACAACACAATGCACCACAAAACTTAATGCATCATCTTTCTTCCTGTGTGCAAGAAGTACTATGCATGGGGCATGATAATACAAGCAATGTTCAAAGAGAATACCAAGTCAGTGGTAAAGAATCATTTCCAATTGGGTAGTATGATTCAATAATGCAGAATGTAACAGATAACAATGAGAACATACACATGATTGATGAATACATAAAACTGTGTGCATTATTTTAGCTTTTTCCACAGCTGCTGCAATATGGCTGTGCTATTCACAAACTGAAAGGGAAGTATCAGACAAACACAAAGCAAATGCATTTTGAAAACATGTAAATCCTCATCCTTATGTTTTTATGAGTTAATGGATGGTTGCATAATATTCAGCATTCTAAAAATTCAATGCTGGTAAGGCAACATAGATACACACAGTTCTCTTCAGGCGGTGTACTAAACATAAACAAGTATTTGCAATATTCAAAGAAAGAAAGTGATAAATACCAAATCTACATTTACTTTCAAGCTACATAAAATGATAAGAGTACTCGGTGTATATTATAAACACATATTTTGATAAATCAGAGTAAAGGTCATGAATAAGGTGTTTTCAGTGGAGCTGGTTGATGATGTTTGTATGAAAATCCAAATAGTGTAAATAAGTTGGTAGATTTCCTGCACAGTCGAGTATCGAAACTATATAGGCAGTGTGCGAATTAATGTGTGCAATGTGCAATTTGCACATCGTTTTAGCAAATGAAAACATTTGCACATCACTTTTTCAAACGATATGCAAAAACTTTTATTGATTACTACCAAATAAGTTGAAAAAAGTTTTCAAGCTTAATCTTTACTGATCTTTACTTTATAAACTAGTGCGCTGCACGACATTAAAATCCATGTTGACACAATGTCATCAAATTTTAAAGACGTTGTCACTTTGAGACTGTTAAGTCTGCCAGCATTCAACATACATGGTGCTTATGTGCTTATGAAAATAGGAGTGTAATAAATTATTAATGTCAATTTTGCATTTGCGTTGTTTTGTAAACCTGTTACGTACTGTTTTTGGCAATTGGCATTTGAGTATTTTCAGTAAAATCGGGAAATATGTTGATATTGATTCTTAAAGGAAGATAAGAAAAACTTAATTAAGCCAAATTTGAAAAATAACAAAAGGGAGTTCTGATTTTAAATAAGCCTAACATGAGAAAATGAAGCAAATTTGGCTAAAAATATTAAGCCAAATTTGGCTCAAATTATTAAGCCAAACTAGCAACATTGATCAGCCATAATTTTTGCTTCTACATCTTGTTTATAATATGACATAAATATGATGTTTTTTGTCGTAAGCAAACATCAAGGATGTTACTGTTTATAATCAGAAAGCGAAAGTAAATTTGGTTATTCTCTTTTAACTTTTGTCTTTCTTGCCGTTTTTGTCTAAAGGTTGTAGCTACCAGAAAAGTTAATATAGTAAAAAAAATGGATGGGAACATCAAATGCTGACTCGTTTGAGTACTGGGATGATGGCCACTTGGTGAATTTATTGCGCTGTAAAGTTTGACAAAAAGAGGAGAGAATAACATGCGCAAAAATTTCTCTAATACATTATTAACTTGACCAGCGGTTGTAACGAAAATACTGTCGTAAATCATATGAATTTGTTCACGTTTAAAAATACTAATTTAGCAATTAGCGCTATATAATAATTAACGTAACATCGATTTGATTATGTCTCTAAAAACACTTTTATTAAAAAATTGCGCATCGTTTTTTCTCAACTTATTTGCACACTGTATATAGGTAGTCTATCATAGCACTTTGATGTCACATGAAAACATAGTGAAACCATATTTATAAACTAACACAAACACCAATTAATAACACGTACTTCATAACATCTATAATCGTAAATAATGTTACTTTATTGGTGGACAATTTTCTTTGTAAGGTTAAGGGTTAGGTTTCTTAGGTATATGATAGTTTGAAAACACTGTAAAACCACAATTAATCAATTCATCATGCATTATTCATTTTTTTGCCAAACCAAAAAATGCATAATATAGTTAGCTTGAGTTATGAATATACTATCATCATGTATCCTAGCCTAAAACAGTAGAAGACTCATAAATATTTTAACATCAAATAATTAAATCTTAGGAAACTGTACTTTTCAAAATTCGCACAGCTGCACTGTAATTTGTTTACAATCACCTACACGATTTTGTCCCTCAGGAATAGCTTTTCGCATTGTTCTCAAAGCAATATTAATTCACTAGTGATATCCTTCGAGTTATAATTCCCAAAAAGCTCGATGACTTTCGATAAAGCAATGGAATCCATGTTTTTAAGCGGAATTGTCGAGAATATTGTCCGAATATAAACTGACAACACGCACGGCACGCGTAAGTCGATATTAGGATTAAGTAATTTTTAATTCAGTCGAATTACTATGAAATTGCGCAATAAATATTGCGCAACCGTGGCCAACTGTGATCTGCCACAATCAGGTGATCAAAATTGTGAGTTTTAATTGGTTGGACATTATTTGGAATTATGTCACTGTGGTCAAAAATGCCGAAATTGCGCAAGAAAGCGATCACTGACCGTGTCAAAAGGTAAGATTTGCGGTCGCCTTTTAATCGTAACAGCAAAACTGGAATTCGAACAGCAATCGAGTTATCGTTTTGTAGGATAATCGGATTACATTAGAAAAATCTAAACGGCGGAATAATACGAGGATTTATAAAATTTGTCGCTTAAATGCAAATTTTGAGTACGTCAACAAGTGCATTTCATGTGTTTTTTTAGTATTTTTGGTTAAAATAGACTCAATAAACTTAATAAGCTAAGAAAATTTATGTTTTATGTCTGAATTTCAAGATTTTTGTCGAATTCTGACTGTGTCCAGTGCCACATTGGATACCCCATGGATCCGCCCTGTATAACATGTATTTACCGGCTGGGAGGTCCGTCTACGGAGAAAATATTTTCACAAGGTCTACAACTTGATGTTGAGACTAAATTTGGATGCCTTCAATGTGACTCTGAAGACGACTACCGCTAAGGTGGTCGAAACGTCAGTCAACAACAATAAAAACGGTCCTTCTCTGAAATATACCAACCTGGACGATCGACATTCACAAACATGTAACATTCTGCCTACTCGTTCAACAATTTACAACGCTTTCGATTCAATTTTATAAATGAATGATGAACTTGACTGAATGAATGACTGAGATGAAAAATCTTACGATAAACTTTAGAACTTCAACCTGCTTCATTCGCCAAAACAAATTTAGCCATGTACCTTCTCAGATATACTAGTTAAAGCTTCGCTTCGGTCTTTTGTCTATTTTTGCAGGGATCTCTTTTATGGGTTTTGATAGTAAAACATTTGTTATAGAGCATTTATAAAAACATATTAAAAAACATTCTAATCGTCTGCAACAATAAGGATCCCTTACACGTGTTCTACTGCAATCGGAGGAGACTACGACTTGTGTCCAAAAATTCCTCAACACAAAATGTTTGCATTTATTGACAGTACTTTATGGAAATATTTATGCTCTTCGAAGTAGCTCTTAAAAGTAGCTACGACGCGAGCAGAATAGCCAAAACTTTTGGTGATTCTAAGTACTTTATACGACTGCATTTTGATTTCTATAATTAAAATATGTACTGTGTCGCATTACCTATCAAAATCTTAGACATTTTTGGTTCACGCCCTTGACAACAAGAAATTTTTGAATCTTTGATTTTCTCGCACCTTTGCATTTAAAACAAATTTTTATGTCATTTCAAATGAAATTTGGGCATTGTCAGAAATTTTCAAAGAAATTGCAAAATAATATTAGCAAACCAATTTCTATAGAATGTTATTCTGTGTGCGTTTTACTTTGGACAGTTTTTCTAAACTATGCTCTATTAATTAGCTATTTAATTCATTTTCTTGTGCATTTCTGACAAGTGTCACTAAAGCTCACCCCTTTTTGATAACCTGTAACCCTCTCCAAATACGCCGGTTCTACTTGCTGAGGTAGGCTGGGTTGCCATGAGAATTTGTGATGCATATGGAGAATATTTTAGAATTTAATGAAATGAGTGTTCAAAAGTGGTGGTTAGAGAAAAATTTTAGAATTTAAGACTTTAGAACTAACAATTAAACAAACTTTGCAACATTACAAAAAAATGACAGTGCTAAATTTTGTGATTAAAAGGGCATCCATGAATTAACTAATTACAAAGTAACTCAAGAAAGAAACTAATTCACGGAAACATATCATTCACTATTTATGTTAACCTTTAATAGCTAGGTACTTGAAAATGGCAATTGCACTTTTGCACTACACATAATCTTTTGACCATATGTGTTAACTCAAATGACAGAAGACATATTTTAAACCAACAACTAAGAATATTATAAACTATGACGTGGCGTTTACTTAAGAAATAAAAGTTGTTTAATGTGTTTGCACAGGCTTATGCGAGCCCGAGGAGACCTTTGGCAGCTAGAACTTGAGAGCTGATCGAAAACTTGAAAGCTCTCACAAACGTCTCTAAGGTTCGCATAAGCCTGTGCAAACACAAAAAATCATTTATTTCTTTTATAAAGCAACAATGTGAAAAAGATCTTAAGGACAACGTTGACTTAAATGTTATTCTAAAAAATTGGGCAACTGCAAAGATGCGAAAAATGCCATTAAAGATTTAATAATACGCTAAAGTGCGTTCTACCACAAGAATACAACATGTATTACAAAATATATAGCAAAATCTGTTCAATCAACCCAATATTTTATTATTGAAAAGTACTGTTCCATATGATCTGCAGGGCATCCTGGGTCCTTGCAGCGCAATTTCATTACCAGCCCCCTCACACACACACATTAAAAAGGTGCTAGTTTCGCCCCTGTGCATAAGCCAGTGCAAACACGAAAAAATCATTTATTTCTTTTATAAAGCAACAATAAAGCGAAACAGACAAATTGAAAACCGACGTTTTTACTTGACCCCTAAAATGCACTTATGATCGATTTGCAATTTGATTAATTTGATTGCTTGAACTCAGTTATGTTTTGCACAGACTAATGAAAACGCAGCTATTGACAAAGTAGAACAACGTTAAACTGTCTTTTTTTATAAATTGAATTCTAGTTACGTGAATGCCATTTTTATGTTGGTGTCACATAAAATATTCATTTTAAACAACCTTAAGTCAATTCTAATGCAAAAGAATGCTATTTTTTGCTAATGCTATTTTGAATTATTTTCATCACTAAAAACCTACCAAAAACAACTTAGACATTGAAAGCAATGAGATTACCTTTAGAAAAATTCACACAACCAGGGCATATTATTTATCATATACTGTCGTTGCAGGAGTCAGAAATTTTGAGTTTGTTAATTCAAGATGCTGGATTAACTTTGCAAACGAAAATGCATCGACTAATAAAATTATGTGAAATTAAAGAGTATCATCCATACCAAATAAGCTAGAAGGCTAACTCGCAATAAAGCCTTTGAAAAAATTTTTTACAAGAAGTGAAATAAATCATATTTTATCCAAGCATGTCGTCATTGTTATGAATATCTTGATATGCGTCGCGGCGGTATTCGGAGAGTAAATCAAATCAGAAAGACCAACAAAACAAGACTAAAAACAAGCAGGTTGGCTACGCCTAGGTCCAAAACTAGAACATTGATTGGGGGTGGGGAAGAATATTAATATAAGTGCGAATTTTCATGTTTTGTGACCTAACATGCTCAGCAGTAGAGCGTGACCGGCAAAAGAGTTACGTAAATAGGGGGGTGAATCTGTGTAGATTTATTTTCCAATTATGTACATACAAACCTGAACAATGTACACCAGCATCTTCATTATGTCTACAATTAATTGCTCCCCATCCACTATGTGAACAACTTGAAAAACTATTTTCATCTCCTACACAATGAACATCATCTAACCATATTCTTCCACTGCCATAAGAAACATCACCTCCATGTAAAGCCCTGAGAGCATTGTCATAACCAAGTTGTCGACAGACAACTTTAGCATCGTTTAAATCCCAGCCATCATCACAAATTGTTCCCCATTCTCCATTGAAAAATACTTCCACACGACCTCTGCCACCAGAACTTTTTGGTCCCCGAAGTCTAACAGAGTTGAAATCTAATAAAAAAAGAAAATAAATAGATATTGCAAAACACAGAAGTCTTAACTCCGAAATATTCTAAGTTACATATATATATATATATATATAAAGTATCCTGTTATGTTAGATGCCATTTTAAAATATTCTTGGGTGAAATTAATGAATTAAATTAGTAAGAAAAAATTGTTAAAAAAGCTTACATAAGTACAATATCTAAAAGTTTTTGACAACTAGACACTATTTGATTTTCATGAGTCAAAAAAATTTTTTATTAAGGCCAGTCCTCATTTCTTAATGTAATATAAATAATTTCTTAATCCTTTAACTTGCGAATTTTCCCCATTGGTTTTCCATTCAATCATTTGATTTTATTGCCATATGGCAACACTGCCCCATAACTTGTTGAAACAAGCAAAAATAAACAATAAATTGTTCACATAGGCTCTTTGTTTACAACATGGGAATTTTTATCGTATTTTTAAATAACTGTCTTTTAATTATTCAGAAATACATTTCTAATGCTCTCTAGGCATGGCTTTTGAAAACCTTAACGGTCAATAAAAAAAATTTAGAAATGAATTTTTAAGATAGACAGCACGCCATTACAAGACTTAATGTTACACCGCAATGTAAATTTAGAGATAATCTTTTAAATATACAAAAAAATTTAATGGAGCCTCATAAGCTACAGCCTACAGCTTCAAAAGCTATAATGAATGTAAACAATCGTAACAAAATTGATAATATAAGGATTATCACATTCCTCCACGGAAAATATGGTCAATGGGCTGCCTTTTTCTTGGTATTATCTAATCTTTTATGGGATGTCATAAAATAGGTTATTTTCAATTATGTGCTAGTGGAACAAGTTGTGTTTATTTAGTTAATTTACGTCCGAAGCTGTGTTTATCCTTCAGGCATTTCTCAATATCTGTTTCAGTATTATAAAATCATATTAAATGTCTAAATTCATCATTGAGGATCCCCCAAATAATTCAGTTTATTATCTTTGTATAAAAGGTAAATAATGTACATACAAACCTAAACATTCTACACCAGCATCTTCATCATGTGTACAATTTTGTGAGCCCCATCCACTATGTGAACAATTCAAAATATTATTTTCATTTCCTACACAACGAACTTCGTCTAACCATATTCTTCCACTGCCGTAAGGAACATAACCTCCTTGGAAAGCCCTGAGAGCATAGTCATAACCAAGTTGTCGACAAACAACTTTAGCATCGTTTAAATCCCAGCCATCATCACAAATTGTTCCCCATTCTCCTTTGTAAAATATTTCCACACGACCTCTGCCACTAGAACTTTTTGGTCCCCGAAGTCTAACAGAGTTGAAATCTGATAAAAAAAGAAAATAAATAGATATTGCAAAACACAGAAGTCTCAACTCCGAAATATTCTTAGTTACATAATGAAACAGAGACTTTGTCATGGTGACAAACTTAAAGATGGATTTTAAAATAGCGACTACAATGGTGAATGGTGATAATAACAATGTAATAGTTCTTGAAAGAACTGTTTTAACCAGAACATTAACCCAACAATTCAAAAGAATTGTTATTTACAGCTAGAAAGAGACACTATGCATTTCAGACACTATGCAAAACGTTCACAATTTTTATCGTTATGAAACAAAGAAAAGGTTTCATCCACATAACGCTTATACCACAGCACATCCGGACAATCTAAAGATGCAAGCATTTTGCATTCATGATAGCCAACAGAAATATTCGCAAAAACCGGTCCAAGTGGAGAACCCATAGCCACTCCGTCAATTTGTTTATACATGGTGTCATCAAAACTAAACTCCATACCCTTTGTGGCAGCCATCATTAGTTCTCTAAAGGCATTCTCAGACATGTCAGGCTAAGTCATGTCCGAGAGAAAAGATTTTGAGCACAAATTTCAATGGTTTCTTCTAAGGGCACATTAGTGAAGAGACTAGTTACATCAAAAGAACACATCGTTAGATTAAAATACATTGAAAAATTTTGTTGTTTAAGCTCATCAGTAAAAGTAAAAGAGTCTTTTAAAGCGTATGTTGAAAATCTCTCCAAAACGGGCGAAAGTACCACTGACAGTTGTTTGGCTAGCTCATGTTGAGCTGAGTTAATCATGGCTAGAATTACGGATTACGTGTTTAATCTGTCTCTATTTTAAGTGTCATCTCTAAAAATAGGGATGACATTGACCTTTGTAACATTTCAAATATAGCATGATTTGGATGTTCTCATTTAGCAGACATTGACACCTGACGAGTAGTCTGTCGAAATGCATAGTGTCTCTTTCTAGCTGTAAATAACGGTTCCATTGAATTGTTGGGTTAGTGTTCTGGTTAAAATAGTTCTTTTAGGAGCTATTACATTGTTATTATCAACATTCACCATGGTATTTGATTTTTGAAATCCATTTCTAAGTTACATGTATACATATAAAGTATCCTGTGTTGTTAGATGCCATTGTAAAATCGTCTTGGGCGAAATTAATGATTTAAATTAGTAACAAAAAAATCTTAAAAAATTACATAAGTACAATATCAAAAACTTTGGACAATTTAAATTTATTTTGTAAAGTCTCCTTAATGTAATTAAATAAAATTTTTATTATTGGCAAATCATAACTTGTTGAAAAAAAAAAAGTAAACAGTAAATTGTTCACATAATCTCTTCGTTTACAACGTGGAATCTTTATCGTATTTACAAAATAACTGTCTTTTAGTTATTTAGAATACGTTTCTGTTGCTCTCTAGGCATGGCTTTTGCTAAACCTTAACGGTCAGTAAAAAACGAATTTAAAAATGAGTTTTTAAGATAGACAGCACGCCATTATAAGACATAAAGTTACACCATAGAGTAAATTTGGAGATGCTTCTTTTAAATATGCAAAAAAAATTAATGGATTTTCATAAGCTACAGCCTACAGCTTCAAAAAGTTGTAATGAATGTAAAGAATGGTAACAAAACTGATAATATAAGGTTTATCTTACTCCTAAATGGAAAATTTGGTCAATGGGCTGCCCTTTTTCTTTGGTATTATCTAATCTTTTTATGGGCAATCATAAAATAGGTTATGTTTAGTTATTCCCTCGTGAAAAAAGTTGTGTTTATTTAGTTATTTTACGACGGAAGCTGTGTTTATTCTTCAGGCATTTGTCAATATCTATTTCAGTATTATAAAACCATATTAAATGTTTAAATTCATCATTGAGGATCCCCCAAACAATTCAGTTTATTATCTTTGTATAAAATGATAAATAATGCACATACAAACCTGAACAATTTACACCAGCATCTTCATCATGTTTACAATCATGTGATCCCCATCCTCTATGTGAACAACTCGAAATATTATTTTCGTTTCCAAAACAATAAACTTCATCTAACCATATTTCCCCACTGCCATCAGGAACATAATCTCCTTGGAAAGCACTGACAGCAAACTTATAACCAAGTTGTCGACAAACAACTTTAGCATCATTTAAATCCCAGCCATCATCACAAATTGTTCCCCATTCTCCATTGTAAAATACTTCCACACGACCTCTGCCACTAGACTTTTTTGGTCCCCGAAGTCTAACAGAGTTGAAAACTGATAAAAAGAGAAAATACAGAGATATTGCAAAACACAGAAGTCTCAACTCCGAAATATTCTAAGTTACATGTATACATATAAAGTATGCTGTAACGTTAGATGCCTCTGTTTAATCATCTTGGGCAAATTTAATGATTTAAATTAGTGATAAAAATTGATAAAAAATATTAAAGAAGTACAATATAAAAAACTTTGGACAATTAGATACTATTTTACTTTCATGAGTCTAAAAAACTTCTTATTTAGACCAGTCTTTATTTCTTTATGTAATATAAATAACTTCTTAACCCTTTATTTTCTGAATTTTCCCATTGGTTTTCCATTCATTAATTTGACTTTATTGCCATAAGGCAACACTGCACCATAACTTGTTGAAACAAGCAAAAAATATTCAGTAAATTGTTTACATAGACTCTTCGTTTACAACATGGGAATCTTTATCGTTATTATAAAATAACTGTCTTTTAATTATTCACAAATACGTTTCTAATATTCCCTAGGCATGGCTTTTTGCTAAACCATAACGGTCAATAAAAAACGAATTTAGAAATGAATTTTAGAGATAAACAGCACGCCATTACAAGACTTAATGTTACACCGCAATGTAAATTTAAAGATAATCTTTTAAATATGCAAAAAAAATTTAATGGAGTTCATAAGCTACAGCCTACAGCTTCAAAAAGCAATAATGAATGTAAACAATCGTAACAAAACTGATAATATAAGGATTATCACATTCCTCCACGGAAAATATGATCAATGGGCAGCCTTTTTCTCTGGTACTATCTAATCTTTTTATGGGCAGTCATAAAATAGGTTATTTTCAATTATGTCCTAGTGGAACAAGTTGTGTTTATTTAGTTAATTTACGTCCGAAGCTGTGTTTATCCTTCAGGCATTTGTCAATATCTGTTTCAGTATTATAAAATCATATTAAATGTTTAAATTAATCATTGAGGATCCCCCAGATAATTCAGTTTATTATCTTTGTATAAAAGGTAAATAATGTACATACAAACCTGAACATTGTACACCAGTATCTTCTTCATGTGTACAATTTTGTGAGCCCCATCCACTATGTGAACAACTCGAAATACTATTTTCATTTCCTACACAATGAAGATCGTCTAACCATATTCTTCCACTGCCGTAAGGAACATAACCTCCTTGGAAAGCCCTGACAGCATAGTCATAACCAACTTGTCGACAAACAACTTTAGCATCGTTTAAATCCCAGCCATCATCACAAATTGTTCCCCATTCTCCTTTGTAAAATATTTCCACACGACCTCTGCCAATAGACTTTTTTGGTCCCCGAAGTCTAACAGAGTTGAAAACTGATAAAAAAGAAAATAAATAGATATTGCAAAACACAGAAGTCTCAACTCGAAATATTCTAAGTTACATAATTAAACAGAGACTTTTCGTGGATACAAACTTAAAGATGGATTTCAAAATAGCGAATACCATGGTGAATGGTGATAATAACAATGTAATAGTTCTTAAAAGAACTGTTTTAACCAGAAAATTAACCCAACAATTCAAAGGAACCGTTATTCACAGCTAGAAAGAGACATTATGTATTTGGGCAGACTACTCGTCAGGTGTCAACGTCTGCTAAATGAGAACCTCCAAATCATGCTCTATTTATAATGTTACAAAGGACAATGTCATCCCTATTTTTAGAAATGACACTTAAAACAGAGACAGATTAAACACGTAATGCTTTTGTCGGCAAAGGACAGGATTAGTCAATTTAATTAATACCGACTCCATGACGCGTAGCTGGAATAACGAGCGACATTTTTAAATAATTTTAAAGTTTTCATCAAAATAAGCATTGGCACAGCGAGTGTTGCTTAAAAGATGTTTTCCAATAGCTGAATCTCATAGAATCGTAATTTCATTTTTACACCCACGTTTTGGTAGTTGTCGTAAAGGAACAGTTACATTCCTGACAGAAGCTGGTACATGCTGTTTTATTCTTTCACTCAACCTTTAAGAAGTCCTATATAAAAATCCACAATCACATTCACATTTAAACTCGTAGACTACATTGCTTGAAATTTGAGCAGCGAGAAACTCTTTGGGAGTGGGTGGAAGAATTGTTCTTTTTAAGAATATAAAGACCACATTACATGCAAAAAACAAACTCTCAGTGATATTTTTAGTTTCCTTCTCGATGTCATTAGAGGCCTTACCCATCCAGGGAATTTTAAGGAAAACAGGGCACTTGGCCGTTCCAAAAAGTTTATTCCGTTCATTGTTATTGGATAAGAAAAGTTTGTCTAGCAAAATTTCCTGATATCCATTCAACACAAAAATACTCTTCAGTGAGATAAGATCACTATAAATAAACTCTTTGAGAACATTCTATGCAATCGCTTTATCAAAACTTCACTAAAGAAATCTTTCTCTATGCGAAGAGAAAGAGTTAAAGCGTGTACAGACCAGTGAAAGTTGCTTTGCGATGAATGCTTGTTAAGAACTGATCATTGCGTTTGTGTACAAGAACGACTAAAAAAGCTAATTGATTGTTTGACTCTAGTTCAGAGGTGTATTTTAGTGCAGGGTGAAGAGAGCAAAGTTTATTAAGAAAAAGTTCACGATTTATATCCTTATGAAACAAAGAAAAGGTGTCATCCTTATAACGCTTATGCCACAGCACATCCGGACGATCTGAAGATGCAAGCATTTTGCATTTATGATAGCCAACAGAAATATTCGCAAGAACCGGTCCATGTGGAGAACTCATAGCCACCCCGTCAATTTGTTTATACATGGTGTCATCAAAACTAAACTCCACACCCTTTGTGGCAGCCATCATTAGTTCTCTAAAGGTATTCTCAGACATGTCAGGTAAAGTCATGTCCGAGTGAAAAAGATTTTGAGAACAAATTTCAATGGTTTCTTCTAAGGGCCCATTAGTGAAGACACTAGTTACATCAAAAGAACACATCGTTAGATTAGAATACATTGAAAAATTTTGTTGTTTAAGCTCATCAGTAAAAGTAAAAGAGTCTTTTAAAGTGTATGTTGAAAACCTCTCCAAAACGTGCGTAACTACCACTGACAGCTGTTTGGCTAGCTCATGTTGAGCTGAATTAATCATGGCTAGATTTACGGATTACGTGTTTAATCTGTCTCTTGTTTAAGTGTCATCTCTAAAAATAGGCATTTGTCAATATCTATTTCAGTATTATATAACCATAGTAAATGTTTAAATTCATCATTGAGTATCCCCCAAATAATTCAGTTTATTATCTTTGTATAAAAAAGTAAATAATATACATACAAACCAGGGGCGGATCTAGAGTATGTCAAATCCGTCGCGCGACTGATGTTTGAAACTCAAAAATTACCTATTCATATTAGTTAAAAATTCATTAATTATTCTTACTTTATTATCGCATTTACTTCGTGATAAAAATCCAGCTTTATTTATTATTGAAAACTAATGACTAATCCAATGAATATCTCCTTGGTAACCAGATCAGTTGAATTTTAATTGACCTGGAATAACCGACTGATAAGCGGGGTGGCTTGACTGGTTCGACATATAAAGAAGTCTAAGAACGCCAGAAACGCTATTTTATTGGTCAATGGCCAGATCAGTGGACAGTCTGGAATAATCTCGACCGATAATAGGGTGGCCGGACCTATAAGGAGTCCAATTGCTATCTTACAATTGGTTCATTTGAATTTTGTCTTACTGTGATTGGTTTGACCTATTTCGACTGATAGCCAACTGAACTAACATAGTCAAGCTCACTGTCTGAATTGAATGTTTGATCGTTTCATAATAATTTTCTAAAGCATGATAGAAACTAAACTACAATCAGATGGAATTTATGGAAATCTTTACAAATTCATATGTTGACATGAATGCTGCTTTACCAAACTGGGAATTTTTTCAAGAGGGCGAAAAATTTATGGATGAATTGTAAATGCTTGGCAAAGACGATCTCGCGAGCGACATTTCAGTCATTGATGTTCAAAAGCAAGCCAACATTGTTTTGAGTTTTATCATCAGAAATTTACATCCAAAATCGTAAGTAAAGGACAACTGAAGTGTATGCATGAATGTAATATATCAAAGTCAATTTATGCGAGTGTGTGATGCGATTTATGTTAATATGGCGTATGGTAAGCAGATAGATGCTTCTAAAATTGTTGTTGCCGAAGGACTTTTAGCTAGGATTTCTTTAGTGCTTAGGGAATCGTGACCGTATATGGCAGCGAAATCCTACATTCCTGCAAATATATTTCAATGGCCAAAAAATCTGTAGCCATAAGGCGCCATACTGTTATTACTTTATCATAAACAAATGTTTGGGACTTTTCAGTTTATGATCATTGATCATTCAATCATTAGACAGTTATACTACATATTTTTTAAGATTTGAGAAAACTAACATTGATTACATGAGAAGCTGTTTACTATAACATGTGATTTTGAGTCTTCTGATCCATGAAGCTTTTTATTTTGACAATTTGACTGGAATGGTATTAAACCTGAGTATTTCACATACATGAAATGTTGTCCCATGTCACATATTGTCCCCTTTTCTAACTGAACACCTCATGTAGAGATGTAAAGGTGTGTTAATCTACGGCTCATACCAGATTGTTTGCCATAAATTCCAAAGGGCTATTGGTGTATGAAAAGCATTTTCTATAAAGTAAAAATATTTTCCTATATATGCAGATAAACCTTGAAATTTGGCAAAACAGCAAAGTATTTTTCATGATCACTAGGTAATTTTTCTGATGATCATTATAATTTCTAAACTATATTATTTCAGATTTACATTTAAACAAGCTTTGATCATATGAAAAGATATTTATCATAACCAGTAAGCATGACACATGAACCAATTTTAACATTCATGAAATTATATAATTAAAGACATGTTGGTTACATTCTGTTTGTATTTGATAATACAATGCTACTAGTGATTGCTATATAGCACACCTTGCAGAAGATAATAGTCAAGTGAAATGCCTAATGAACATTATGGCATTAAGCTGTCCTTAACTGCAAATTTTCACTCTCATAATTTTTGCTTAGTCTTTGGCAGAAAAAAATTTTGAGTTTTTTCTTAAAGGTCACCTGAAATGCAAAATTCATATTTCTGTTTATTTGACATATAAAATGTATATATTTCGTAGACTATTCAAAGAAAATTTGAAAACAATCCCATGATTATTTTAAGAGATATCAACGTGTGAATTTGTGTTTTTTTGAATAGAAGTAAAAAATATTCCGTCGGTTTATCGTCGGAAAGTATTTGGCGTGACGTAATAGTTGCCATTGACATTTCGCGCGAGAAAGCGGCAAATATGAATTCATAAATAAAGTTTGATTTTGATCGGCTATTTTAAGATGGTTTACTGAGTGGCATTTAACTGCAAAAACGGTTCTTCTAAGAACCAATCTAAGGCGGAAAAAGTTAGGTTTTTCAGTTTCCCCGCTAAAAATCCTTTACGCCAAGCATGGGTCGATAAGGTGAAAAGGAAAGATTGGAATCCTTCGAAAAGGTCAAAGCTCTGTTCGGCACACTTTGAAGCCTGCTGTTTTGTCCAAAACCCCGGAGTCCTGAAATCTTTAGGATGGCGACCAACCAGGTTAAGGTTAAAAGACGCAATACCAACGATCTTCGACTATTCGAGGTCGAAAGTTGGTGATAAACGGAAACCGGAGGCAACTAGAAACGCGTATGCAAAGCGCAGAAAATTAGAGGTAAAGTCTTGTAGCCAAGCAGTTTTTAATGTAATTATAGTGCATTACTTTAAAAAAACGCATATACAATTCAGATAATAAACGAAGCTCTTGAGAACTCCGTGGAAAACATTGAGCAGCCTGACGAGGACGAAAATACATCAAAAACATGTTCGTTTTTTTTGAGTGGACAACTGGACTCAAGAGATAAATGTAACATAAGTGACAATGGAACACAAACTGACAAAGTGGTAAGGGAATGCAATGCAGTTTTGTTTTGTGCAAAAGCCTAAACTGTTGCTTGATGATGTAGAAACGCAGACATGTAAAGTGTCAATCTGATATAAAAATCCCAGTCGAAGCAAAAAGCAAACGCACTCAAACGAATGCACAAGTGACGTCTCAAGGTTAATTTTTTACATGAACTCAGCGGAAAATAAACATTTTGAAAAGTGTTTCCTTAATTATGTTATTCCGTTGCACAGGGACAGAAACCGAAATTATCACGACAAATGCAAGAAGCACTCAAACGGAAGGTAGTTTATCCGTAGATGAAAACGACAATGATGATGATTTCCTATCAGATGCTGAAATAAGCACTTCGGAAAACAACAGTACCGCAGATGAATATCTTAGTTTCAGCGAATTTGAATCGTCAGATGATGAAGCATCAATTGCCGAGTAAGTTAGTCTGCATCATTTTGAAATAAGATAACCCAAAACATAAGTTCATTTCAAGTATTTTACAGAGCAAGATAACATTCATATAAAAAATAAGTAATTTTTCCATGTTAGGGAAAATGATGTTACTCAAAAAAAATATATAGTTTTTGACAGCTGTCTAAGAAAGTTGTTCTCTCAGTGTCGACACTGTGGTGGTCACTGCAAGATATCAACCAGAAGCATTGGAAGCATGGTGAACATCATCGCTAAATGCTCATGTGGCTTTCTTAATAATTGGAATAGTCAACCTACTCATAGTCAGATGCCATTGGGTAATCTCTTGCTATCTGCCAGTATTCTATTTAGTGGTAACAGCCCATCCAAAATCCTGCAATATTTTCAACAAGCAAATGTACAGTTCATTACTGAAAGGTGCTACAACTATATACAAAGTGGATATCTTATTCCAAGTGTTTTGAATGTTTGGAAAAAGCACCAGACTATTATGATGACAGAGCGTCAGGGAAAGCAGGTTGTTATTGGGGGTGATGGACGATGTGATTCACCAGGCTATTGTGCAAAATATTGCTCATACAGCTGCATGGATTTAGAAAGCAATAAAATTCTAGACACACAATTAGTTCAGGTAACTAGCTCAATTCATTAGTTTATAGTATTGTATTCAAAACAGTATTGTATGCAAACACATTTTAGGAAATGTGTAATATGTACTTATACAACATGAATACAATGTGTGTAACTAAATCATGTGATATACACCAACATACATGCATACTTGCAGACATACATATCCCAAACACTGTATGATTTTATTTACATTAATATATCTATTACAGTCAAATGAAGTTGCAAATTCAGGGGCAATGGAATTGGAAGGACTGAAAAGATCTTTTAAACTTATTCAGTCACACAATCTTCAAGTGAGTCATCTTATCACAGACAGGCATTGCCAAGTTAAAAAATACATGAAAACCCAACAGCCAGGAGTGAAGCACTATTTTGATGTTTGGCATGTGGCAAAAGGTAAAATTAAGGCTACCAAAAGCTGCTCAAAGTACAGCAATGGGTCTTAAAATAAAGTACTTCCTGATTTGATCAAAGAGTATCTTTATAATCATAAATTACCAAGTGATTAAGAGGTTTTAGAATTTTTCTAATTGCATTTAATTTCATGATATTTTGATCAATTATTGCTATGTTTTGCATTACAATTTTTTAACCAATGTACAGTGTCTGTTTTTTTCTACAGGTATCAAAAAAGGTAATGGCAGCCAGTAAAAAGAGTGGATGTAGATTGCTACTTGATTGGGCACAGTCAATATCTAACCATGTCTACTGGTGTGCTGCAAGTAGTGGTGGTGATGAGAAACTACTTAAGGCTAAATGGCTATCATTGCTGAATCACATTTGCAACATTCATGATGGTCATAGCGAATTATTTCCAAAATGTGAGCATAGTACTCTTGAGCCTCGCTTATGGATGAAGAAAGGTACAAATTAATCCTAAATGCTCTGGTATAAGACATAATAGTTATTTACAGTAATTGATACTTTCTTTATCAACAAACTTCAATTGCCAGCCAATGCCACAATGTGGTGTTATTTGTCAACATATGAAATAAATGGGCACCATAAAATTTTCTATCTTTTTTCCAAGGATCTAGAGCATTTACTGAATTGGCATCGATTGTTGAAAGCAGGTATCTCATGAAAGATATTGGGAAGCTCAGCCATGAAAAACAAACATCAGCTCTTGAAGGTTTTCATCGAGTTGTTATACTATATGCACCAAAGCATACACATTTCTTTTACAAGGCAATGCAAGCTAGGTAAACAAACAATAAACAATGTTGTTTTCATACTGAAAATGATTGCAAGGTGGCACACTAAAAGTAAAATTAAATTTTTAGATTACTGATTGCTGCTCTCCATTTCAATGAAAATGGAAGTAAAGAACAAAGGCGTACAAAGAAAATGGGGAATTAATGTGGAAAGTGTCTCACCCCAAATCAAGACAGTCATGTGGAGTCATCAAAGGTGTTAAAATTGATAGTACTTATGGTAAGGACAAGTTTTAGCACTCAAAAGCCAAATAATTGTTCTACTGATGGTACATTTCTTGCACTTCTCAGTTTAATTCTTCTCCCCCTGTTTTACAGACTATGTGAAACAACTAATGGAGGAAGTGATAAGGTGCAGACATGCTAATTCCAGTTTAAACCAAGCAATTGCAACAGAAAGACAACAAAAAATACCAGATCCACTGACTAGTAGAGTTGAAAAAGTTGATAAAGTAACAGCAGTGCAACAACATACTTCACGATTCAATCTTAACTAAACTGAAGTCTAACACTCACAGGTATTTATAAATGCTGTGCATATTCAAAGCCTTTATATATGCCAGAAGGTGAAGGAAATGCTTTCCTTATTTCTTTAACAGCACAGGATGGTATAGGAAGTCGATATTTCTTGCCAAGCTTTCCATGTATCCATGCTGTCCATTGCCTATAGGCAGTGTAACGCAAAGTTCTGGGAAACAAAACAAAATCAAACATAAGCAAATTATTGTCGATATATGAGGAGATATCAAAAAAGCTGAAACTGACTCGGTTTCTGGAGCGTCTGGTATTGCCCCGTGATCGTGAACGAATACAACCATAGCTGTTCTAACGACTGTTTCGTTGATGCAGACCATGTGAAACTCTTGTTCTTCTGTGATGCATAAATGGTCACCATGAATTTTAGGGTCTGTCTTCGGTTCCTCATGGCAACAAATGCTTCCCGGCCGGTTGTCATCGCCACACAGTGTCCACACTCACACCTGCCATTAAAATAAAGAAAAATTTTATGACGCGATCTGAAATGTTAATCATGAAAAAGCAACGCACCAGTTTGTTTTTCCAATCCTGTGAGTATATTCGTCAGATGAGCTGTCCGTTGACGACGACGAAGACAGATCTTCGTCAGTTTCAACATTATTGCTACTAGCTAGCGGTTCAAACATGTAAGGCTGGACCTCCATAGCAATATATTCGATGTCAAATTCGACTTCTTCCTCCGTTGAAGACATCGAGATAAACACGCATTAATAGTAGCAGCAACAACAAAAAGAAAATTGGCGAAATTTTATTTTTACTGCTACTGGCTGCACTGAGCAAAAACATGCAATGGCAACTATTACATCAAACTCGCCCCAGCTTGGGTAATTCAAATTCGCTCGCGCTATTTGAATTCGGTCTTCGGAAATCGTCAATGTCATGAATTCAGAAGACCATATCTCATAAAATATAAAACATTGGACTTTCAAATTTGGCGAATAGGCTAATCATTAGCTAAGCTTTCATATGAAGCAAAGTTATATAAGCATTTCAGGTGACCTTTAAAGGGTGAATTTGCTGGCACTGATGTGGAGATAGGTAAAGGGTTACAATAAACTTGCATGGTTTGAAGTCTGAGCTTTTCTATATCTATGAACTGTCACTTGTAGCACCAAATTTCTTAACTCATTACATAGAGGTTTGAATGGGGGTCTCTAGGGGGGTCTATGCCTGACAAGTTGGTACAAATCTTTAAAGACTATATCTGTTTTTGAATAGCATTTTTGTAAAATAATATTTACGTTCCTAGACATACTAATGAGCCATATATTTGGCATGATAATGAGCCTAAATATGTGGCATAATAATGAGCCTAAATAATTGACAAAACACTCAAGTATTGTTCAATTCATTCTTTTTTTGAAAAAAACGTAAGCAAAATGTGTTGTTTTTACGCAAAACGACGACCACAAAATACATTTTGTAATGCTCTAAAACGCTGAAAATGGCATTTTTAAGGCTCTGAGAATGCCTCCGACCCCTCAGGTGCGGAGCGCCTCCGACGTTTTATGACTGATGTTTGAAAAGTGCTAGATCCGCCCCTGTTCAGGATCCCCCAAATAATTCAGTTTATTAACTTTGTATAAAGGGTAAATAATGTACATACAAACCTAAACATTCTACACCAGCATCGTCATCATGTGTACAATTTTGTGAGCCCCATCCACTATGTGAACAATTCAAAATATTATTTTCATTTCCTACACAACGAACTTCGTCTAACCATATTCTTCCACTGCCATAAGGAACATAACCTCCTTGGAAAGCCATGACAGCATAGTCATAACCAAGTTGTCGACAAACAACTTTAGCATCGTTTAAATCCCAGCCATCATCACAAATTGTTCCCCATTCTCCTTTGTAAAATATTTCCACACGACCTCTGCCACTAGAACTTTTTGGTCCCCGAAGTCTAGCAGAGTTGAAATCTGATAAAAAAGAAAATAAATAGATATTGCAAAACATAGAAGTCTCAACTTTGAAATAATCTTAGTTACATAATGAAACAGAGACTTTGTCGTGGGGACAAACTTAAAGATGGATTTTAAAATAGCGGCTACCATGGTGAATGGTGATAATAACAATGTAATAGTTCTTAAAAGAACTGTTTTAACCAGAACATTAACCCAACAATTCAAAGGAATTGTTATTTACAGCTAGAAAGAGACACTATGCATTTCAGACTCTATGCAAAACGTTCACAATTTTTATCGTTATGAAACAAAGAAAAGGTTTCATCCACATAACGCTTATACCACAGCACATCCGGAAAATCTGAAGATGCAAGCATTTTGCATTCATGATAGCCAACAGAAATATTCGCAAAAACCGGTCCAAGTGGAGAACCCATAGCCACTCCGTCAATTTGTTTATACATGGTGTCATCAAAACTAAACTCCACACCCTTTGTGGCAGCCATCATTAGTTCTCTAAAGGCATTCTCAGACATGTCAGTCTAAGTCATGTCCGAGTGATAAAGATTTTGAGCACAAATTTCAATGGTTTCTTCTAAGGGCACATTAGTGAAGAGACTAGTTACATCAAAAGAACACATCGTTATATTGAAATACATTGAAAAATTTTGTTCTTTAAGCTCATCAGTAAAATTAAAAGAGTCTTTTAAAGCGTATGTTGAAAATCTCTCCAAAACGGGCGAAAGTACCACTGACAATTGTTTGGCTAGCTCATGTTGAGCTGAGTTAATCATGGCTAGAATTACGGATTACGTGTTTAATCTGTCTCTATTTTAAGTGTCATATCTAAAAATAGGGATGACATTGACCTTTTGTAACATTTCAAATATAGCACGATTTGGATGTTCTCATTTAGCAGACATTGACACCTGACGAGTAGTCTGTCGAAATGCATAGTGTCTCTTTCTAGCTGTAAATAACGGTTCCATTGAATTGTTGGGTTAGTGTTCTGGTTAAAATAGTTCTTTTAGGAGCTATTGCATTGTTATTATCAACATTCACCATGGTATTTGCTTTTTTGAAATGCATTTCTGAGTTACATGTATACATATAAAGTATCCTGTTATGTTAAATGCCATTGTAAAATCGTCTTGGGCGAAATTAATGATTTAAGTTAGTAACAAAAAAATGTTAAAAAATTACATAATACAATATCAAAAACTTTGGACAATTAAACACTATTTGACTTTAATGAGTCTAAAAATTTTTTTATTTTGTAAAGTCCTCAATTCTTTATGTAATATAAATAACTTCTTAACCCTTTAACTTACGAATATTCCCCATTAGTTTTAAATTCAATCATTTGATTTTATTGCCATATGGCAACATTGCCCCATAACTTGTTGAAAGAAAAAAAAAGTAAACAGCAAATTGTTCACTTAATCTCTTCGTTTACAACGTGGAATCTTTATCGTATTTACAAAATAACTGTTTCTTAATTATTTAGAATGTGTTTCTGGTGCTCTCTAGGCATGGCTTTTGCTAAACCTTAACGGTCAGTAAAAAACGAATTTAAAATTGAATTTTTAAGATAGACAGCACGCCATTATAAGACATAAAGTTACACCGTAAGGTAAATTTGGAGATGCTCCTTTTAAATATGCAAAAAAAATTAATGGAGCTTCATAAGCTACAGCCTACAGCTTCAAAAAGATATAATGAATGTAAAGAATGGTAACAAAACTGATAATATAAGGTTTATCTTACTCCTAAATGGAAAATTTGGTCAATGGGTTGCCCTTTTTGCCTGATATTATCTAATCTTTTTATGGGCAATCATAAAATAGATTATGTTTAGTTATTCCCTCGTGGAACAAGTTATGTTTATTTAGTTATTTTACGTCGGAAGCTGTGTTTATTCTTTAGGCATTTGTCAATATCTATTTCAGTATTATAAAACCATATTAAATGTTTAAACTCATCATTGAGGATCCCCCAAACAATTCAGTTTATTATCTTTGTATAAAAGGTAAATAATGTACATACAAACCTGAACATTGTATAAAAAGATAAATAATGCACACACAAACCTGAACAATTTACACCAGCATCTTCATCATGTTTACAATCATGTGATCCCCATCCTCTATGTGAACAACTCAAAATATTATTTTCATTTCCAAAACAATAAACTTCATCTAACCATATTTTCCCACTGCCATCAGGAACATAATCTCTTTGTAAAGCACTGACAGCAAACTTATAACCAAGTTGTCGACAAACAACTTTAGCATCATTTAAATCCCAGCCATCATCACAAATTGTTCCCCATTCTCCATTGTAAAATACTTCCACACGACCTATGCCACTAGACTTTTTTGGTCCCTGAATTCTAACAGAGTTGAAAACTGATAAAAAGAGAAAATAAAGAGATATTCCATTGGTTTTCCATTCATTAATTTGACTTTATTGCCCTAAGGCAACACTGCACCATAACTTGTTGAAAGAAGCAAAAAATAATCAGTAAATTGTTTACATAGACTCTTCGTTTACAACATGGGTATCTTTATCGTTATTATAAAATAACTGTCTTTTAATTATTCACAAATACGTTTCTACTATTCTCTAGGCATGTCTTTAGCTAAACCATAACGGTCAATAAAAAACAAATTTAGAAATAAATTTTTAAGATAGACAGCACGCCATTACAAAACTTAATATTATACCGCAATGTAAATTTAGAGATAATCTTTTAAATATGGAAAAAAAAATTTAATGGAGTTCATAAGCTTCAGCCTACAGGTTCAAAAAGCGATAATGAATGTAAACAGTCGTCACAAAATTGATAATATAAGGATTATCACATTCCTCCATGGAAAATATGGTCAATGGGCTGACTTCTTTGTTGGTATTATCTAATCTTTTATGGGCAGTCATAAAATAGGTTATTTTCAATTATGTGCTAGTGGAACAAGTTGTGTTTATTTAGTTAATTTACGTCCGAAGCTGTGTTTATCCTTCAGGCTTTGTCAATATCTGTTTCAGTATTATAAAATCATATTAAATGTTTAAATTCATCATTGAGTATCCCCCAAATAATTCAGTTTATTATCTTTGTATAAAAGGTAAATAATGTACATACAAACCTGAACATTGCACACCAGCATCTTCATCATGTGTACAATTTTGTGATCCCCATCCACTATGTAAACAACTCGAAATACTATTTTCATTTCCTACACAACGAAGATCGTCTAACCATATTCTTCCACTGCCGTAAGGAACATAACCTCCTTGGAAAGCCCTGACAGCATAGTCATAACCAAGTTGTCGACAAACAACTTTAGCATCGTTTAAATCCCAGCCATCATCACAAATTGTTCCCCATTCTCCATTGTAAAATACTTCCACACGACCTATGCCACTAGACTTTTTTGGTCCCCGAAGTCTAACAGAGTTGAAAACTGATAAAAAAAGAAAATAAATAGATATTTCAAAACACAGAAGTCTCAACTCCGAAATATTCTAAGTTACATAATGAAACAGAGACTTTGTCGTGGTGACAGACTTAAAGATGGATTTTAAAATAGCGACTACCATGGTGAATGGTGATAATAACAATGTAATAGTTCTTAAAAACTGTTTTAACCAGAACATTAACACAACAATTCAAAGGAACCGGTTTTACAGCTAGAAAGAGACACTATGCATTTCGGCAGACTACTCGTCAGGTGTCAACGTCTGCTAAATGAGAACCTCCAAATCATGCTATATTTATAATGTCACAAAAGGACAATGTCATCCCTATTTTAGAAATGACACTTAAAACAGAGACAGATTATACACGTAATGCTTTTGTCGGCAAAGGACAGGATTAGTCAATTTAATTAATACCGACTCCATGACGCGTAGCTGGAATAACGAGCGACATTTTTTAATAATTTTAAAGTTTTCATCAAAATAAGCATTGGCACAGCGAGTGTTGCTTAAAAGATGTTTTCCAATAGCTGAATCTCATAGAATCGTAATTTCACTTTTACACCCACGTTTTGGTAGTTGTCGTAAAGGAACAGTTTCATTCCTGACAGAAGATGGTACATACTTTTTTTTTCTTTCACTCAACCTTTAAGAAGTCCTATATAAAAATCCAGCATCACACTCACATTTAAACTCGTAGACTACATTGCTTGAAATTTGAGCAGCGAGAAACTCTTTGGGAGTGGGTGGAAGAATTGTTCTTTTTAAGAATATAAAGACCACATTACATGCAAAAAACAAACTCTCAGTGATATTTTTAGTTTCCTTCTCGATGTCATTAGAGGCCTTACCCATCCAGGGAATTTTAAGGAAAACAGGGCACTTGGCCGTTCCAAAAAGTTTATTCCGTTCATTGTTATTGGATAAGAAAAGTTTGTCTAGCAAAATTTCCGGATATCCATTCAACACAAAAATACTCTTCAGTGAGATAAGATCACTATAAATAAACTCTTTTGAGAACATTCTATGCAATCGCTTTATCAAAAACTTCACAAAAGAAATCTTTTCTCTATGCGAAGAGAAAGAGTTAAAGCGTGTGTACAGACCAGTGAAAGTTGCTTTGCGATGAATGCTTGTTAAGAACTGATCATTGCATTTGTGTACAAGAACGACTATCAAAAAAAGCTAATTGATTGTTTGACTCTAGTTCAGAGGTGTATTTTAGTGCAGGGTGAAGAGAGCAAAGTTTATTAAGAAAAGTTCACGATTTATATCGTTATGAAACAAAGAAAAGGTGTCATCCACATAACGCTTATGCCACAGCACATCCGGACGATCTGAAGATGCAAGCATTTTGCATTTATGATAGCCAACAGAAATATTTTCGCAAGAACCGGTCCATGTGGAGAACCCATAGCCACTCCGTCAATTTGTTTATACATGGTGTCATCAAAACTAAACTCCACACCCTTTGTGGCACCATCATTAGTTCTCTAAATGCATTCTCAGACATGTCAGGTAAAGTCATGTCCGAGTGAAAAAGATTTTGAGAACAAATTTCAATGGTTTCTTCTAAGGGCACATTAGTGAAGACACTAGTTACATCAAACGAACACACCGTTAGATTAGAATACATTGAAAAATTTTGTTGTTTAAGCTCATCAGTAAAAGTGAAAGAGTCTTTTAAAGCGTATTTTGAAAACCTCTCCAAAACGGGCGAAAGTACCACTGACAGTTGTTTGGCTAGCTCATGTTGAGCTGAAATAATCATGGCTAGATTTACGGATTACGTGTTTAATCTGTCTCTAGTTTAAGTGTCATCTCTAAAAATAGGCATTTGTCAATATCTATTTCAGTATTATAAAACCATATTAAATGTTTAAATTAATCATTGAGTATCCCCCAAATAATTCAGTTTATTATCTTTGTATAAAAAGGTAAATAATGTACATACAAACCTGAACATTGTACACCAGCATCTTCATCATGTTGACAATTATGTGATCCCCATCCTCTATGTGAACAACTCGAAATATTATCTTCATTTCCTACACAACGA